CAAGAGCAGGTGCCGCGCAAATGCGAAATTAATAACTTTCCCAGAGTAAGTGTGCCTTTTGCCGTTCACCCGTTCCGCTAATGTCTTCAGTGGTGGGTTGCGTTGTTCGTTTATTTGTTTTATTTATTTACGCAGCCCTATTTAAGGACTTAGCCTGAATGGGGATCTTACCTTGCGCTAGCAAGACAACAACAAAAAAAATCAATGTAGATACTGTCATGTGTCCAACAAATTTACACTCAACAGAACGATAATAAATATGAATAGTTTACTTGTCAATAAGATGCTGCTCGACTGGAAATATAAAATATGGTTGTAAGATGAAGAAATGTTACCAAAGAGGGAACCTGGAAGCTCTATTGCACGGGTAGGGAATATATATATATATATATATAATATATATATATATATATATATATATATATATATATATATATATATATATATATATATATATATATATATATATAGGACAGAAGTGTATACCTAAGGGCTCGTTTTTCCGTGTTTTGACACAATAATAATGAGATCTAACAGACAGTAATGCCAAGGAATGTACAGGGGAAGTTATTAGAACCAATGAAATGTAAATAAGAAGAAAGAAAAGTGGATGGAGAAATAACCAGCCGTGAGCAGGAAGTGTAGTGTAGCTTGCTCACGGCTGGTTATTTTTCCATCCACTTTTCTTTCTTTTCTTTCTTTTATTTACATTCCATTGGTTCTAATAACTTTCCCTTACATTCCTTGGCATTACTGTCTGTTAGATCTCATATATGAATAAGAGTGTTTTCACACTCGTTCGTTGGCTTATAGATGGCGCTGACTGTCACTCCTACTTCTAAATTCACATATAAACCCCAGAAAGTGGATGGAGGGACGGCCGCTGTGATAGCTCAGTGGTTAGAGCATCGAACGCGTTATTCGAAGGTCGTAGGTTCGATTCCTGCTCACAGCTGGTAATTTTTTCATCCACTTTTCTTTCTTCTTTCTTGTTATTTACATTCCATTGGTTCTAATAACTTCCCCTGTACATTCCTTGGCATTACTGTCTGTTATATCTCATTAATATTGTGTTAAAAACACGGAAATACGAGCCCTTAGGTATACCCTTCTCTCCCTTATTTCATATATATATATATATATATATATATATATATATATATATATATATATATTGGTACGTGCAAATATTGGCGTTATGTTCACAACGTGAGAACTGCCACCACGGACTTCAGCTAGTAAATGTGATAAGACTATTACGAGAGTCGTGTTTTAAAGTTTAGTGATTTCGGGCCTAAAGTCGGTGAGAAGTCGGCTGTTGTCATGACCTGTTGTGCCTTTCTCCCACGCCTTACTTTCGTCTGAGTTGAATCCGTACCATATGGTTAACTTCGTTTCCTTCTAAGTTTATAGCGGGCCAACTTATTATCTTCTTGTCATCCTCTCACCGAAAAAAAAAAATACCTTGTGCCCCAAGTTACCAACAGTCCTTTGATTTCATCTTCTAGCTATGTTATTTCGAGAAATGAATATGTATAATTTTAACGGGCTTTTGTGCTCATCGCCCTACGTTCCTTCAATGTTTTTTTTTTTTTCATTGAGTAATAGTCGTTACGTTATTGAGGTAGAAATAAGAACACGCGTTATTGTTATTCACTGGCGACCGTGCTACATGGCTAACATTAAAGCGTGGTCGATTGTTGTCTGACTCGCTTTAACTGAACAAATTAAAGTCATTTATTTTTTAATTAAGAATCATTTGTAGTCTAATCTCTTCCGCGTTATCGCTTAGCTAAAATAACGTCTCTGCACCCGTAGGTGTTTGCCTGTAAAGCGTGCTTTGCCACGCGTGTGGTGTTTGTGCGGCAGAGCCTACTTTGTTTTTAATCCCGGTTGAGAGTCACAAAACCATTATTGGACCCTAGTACGTTATATCTAGTGTCACTCGTTCCTCATCCAAGCAAGCACTTCTGGTGCAGCACTTACTTCCGGTTTTCTTGAAGTCAAGGCAATATAATTTTTTTTAATGATGGCATATCCTCGTAGTGAATGATGATGAGTGGGGCGAAGCGTCGAAGGGTTTTATCGGCAAACCGTGAATAATCCGCTGGCCGCGTCCGTCCGTACGTTCATGTCTGTCTGTCTGTCTGTCTGTCTGTCTGTCTGCTGTCTGTCTGTCTGTGTCTGTCTGTCTGTCTGTCTGTCTGTAGGTATGTATCTATGTCCGTCCGTTCCTTTGCCTGTCCATCAGTCCGTCCGTCCGTATGTCCGTTCATGTGTGTGTGTGTGTGTGTGTGGTCTGTCGTCTGTCTGTCCGTATTTCCGTCCGTCCACCTTGTGAACGCTCCAAGTGCCGCCATCTCGCATCTTTTCATCATGTATCCATCATATACAAGTACCGCTATCCCGCGGACATTGCAAGGACCAAAACGAGAGGTGGCTAGTACATACAGGAGACGCACGACCCACGCCTTAAGGACCTTCGCCCCCTAAAAACACA